TATTTCTTATCTCAGCCAGCAAACTTTGCAGTCCCTTTTGTCACTGCATGCTAACCCTGGCCCCCACCTCCCAGGTAGCTGCACATGTTTCCATAATGTGTCTTTTTGCAGCCACTTTCCCTGCTTGACCCTTGATTTCCCAGTTGTATCAGCAGCTTTGTAGGCGTTGTTCGGTAATGAAGTTGGGAATGAATGAGCTAACGAGCCTCCCTGCCCCTGGAAACAGCAGTGAGCACAACCACGGGCAGCATGCAGGGATTTCCCTTTTTTTTTTTTTTTTTTTCTCCTCCCCCTTAATTCGTGGTGTATTTTTGCTGCTTACTTTAAAAAGAATCTTCAATCCCAGATGCAAGTACACTAAATTTGTGTTTTCCAGAGATATAAAAAGAAGGTTCAGGGCCTGGAAGCCACAACCACAATTTCCCTGGGTATAGAAGGTGGCAGTGGTGACCATCTAGGATGCAGCAGCCTCCCCAGTTGTTCAAAACCTACATGCAGTCAGAAATCATTTCTATTTTAGTCCTTTAAAAGCTTGAAAACAATTAAAAATCAAAGTAGCATGCATATTTCTGGATTTGCACTGCTTGCCCAGAGATAGAAGTGAAATAATCACAGAGATAAAAGAGAAATTATTTCATTCAGTTGTATCTAAGTTTTATATTATGTTTTTGTTTGCTTTTCTGCGGCTGGTCTCTGAACTTCCACATCTGTTTCACAGATACAGCATAAAGGGTTTCAGTTCCTCCCTGAACCCTTTATCTCCCAGTTGAATTGAGAATGGGTGAAACCCATCACTTCCTAATTGATGTTCGGAGATAAGAGAAAACAGTCTACAGGGCAAGGTCCCTCAGCTCTGAAACACTCGGTGCTGAGGAATTGTTTGAATGCAGTTGTTGATTGTGGTGGGTGATTCACTGCTGTATAAACAATCCATGTTCTGTGTAAAAAACTTAAAATAAACTTTCTGAAGGAGATATAAACAGTAAGCTCTAGCAAACCCTTGAAGAGATCGATTCTCATTTTTAATTCAGAAACTGAGTATTGCATGACACCAATTCAGTAGATAATAGGATAAGAATTGACTTTCAAACCAGCTTTTCAGCACTCTGCAGAGTAAGAAAAAAAAATGTGTAAGAAATAAAAAAATAAAGTAGAATCTATACTTTTGCATTTTATTGTGGATCATGGAAATATTTTTCCTTCATGTTAGAGTGATATAAAACAAAACTTAACACAAAGGTAGGAAACCCACAGTAATAACAAGAAGCGTGATTTTAATCTTCCAGGCACTTGCTGTGGGTATGATAATTGGCAGACACGTTTGTTTGCATTGTAAAGACATTTTGACAGATCAAGTAATCCAAGTTTGTTTTGCTTATTGGCAAACGCTTGCAGGTCAGATGTGTTTCATCCTAAAGTACGGTCTTGTTATCAGACTCTCCTGTTAATAATGCATGAGGCAGGATTCATTTCTGGTTATCATTCGTTGCAAAGCAATATTACAAATTAAAAGGTGAATGGGAAGAACTGCTGCCACAGGTGTACGTCCCCCTCGAATCCCCCTCACACTTGTGACTGGCTGTGCCTCTGCAGGCCCCCAGCAGCACATTTGGTGCATCTGTAATGCCAGCTTCGTGACCGGCATCCAGCCTAGGGGAAGAAACTCAGTTTCAGAAGGTTAAAACTGAAGTTTTACATGAAAAAAAAAAAAAAGATAGATGATTTGAATGCCTAAGGGTGCCATTTGCTGTGTTGCAAGTTGGTGGCAATCCATTTATTTCTCTGGCAATGCCATTTATTTTGCTGAGGCTGTGCTAGAGTTGGCCCACTGAGGAAGTGTCCCAAAAGGCAGAGGTGGTATAACCTGCGGTGTGATCGATCAGAGCAAGTTTCCAAGCAGTTCTCAGCCACTTTCCAAGTCCTTCCCTTGCAGTGCTTACTGTACAGTCACCCCTGCCCATAGAAATGCCGCTGTTAAACATTAAGTCATATTGTTTCACCACTCCTGGTTTTGGTATTTTCTACAGGGTTCCCTGCTCTCCATGCTTACCTGATAGATCATGGCATTTGCCGTTGGCAGCGTTTCCTTTTCCTGAATATTTTTTTGCATATTCAAATCATTAAAAGAGAGTAGCTGTTTCTGGGTCCTTAGCTACATTCTTCATAATTAGATTATATTTTTTAAAATATTGAATGTAATAACATAGTCGTAATAATAAAACCTCAGAAAAATATTTCAACCGCTTTTAAGTTTCAGAAGTAGCTTGAGATTTGGGGTGTCTCACTTCATGGGTGCCTTATTTAATATCCTCTCCCTGTGGGCATCCAGCATTTCCAGCAAAATGAATACCATTAATTCTCTCAGGCTGAGCTCCCAAAGAACTAACTGCTTCAGAAAATCTGGAGTCTTTTCATCCGTTAGGGGTAGAAATGGTTTGAGTCACCTCCAGGGGTTGGTGGTCGTTGTTTTTGTTTGCTGTTTTTTTTTTTTTTTTTCTCCCCATTTTAATGTGCCCTGAGCTGCTGCAGACCAATTCATTGCAGGAACTCCGTCTGCACGGTGCTGTGTGTAAGGTAATAGGGAGTGACTGGCTACAATATGTGCGTTTAAGCTACTCAGCTGAAAATTACTGAGCATTAAAATCCACTGGGAGTCACACGACTTCTAAATTAGGAAAGCACATGTCAGTCAGCGTGTGGAAATGAGCCCTCGTACAAGAGCAGCTTTCAATAAGAAGAATGAGTATTGTTCCCTAGAGGACATAAATCCTGGTTTGGCCACTCCATAGCAGCTTTTACTATTTTTCTAGAAGCATGCATTGCCTTTTGTTGTTATTTTTTTCCTGTATTTTATTCTATTGTGCATTTCTGTTAGATATGTCTCATGGGCCAGCTATCAAGAGACACCCTGCTGGGCTGTGGTGTGACGAATTTTCAACTGCAGACAAGGTATTGTGGGGTTTGAAAGAAACATGGACAATGACAAGTGCTGGACAGCTTGTAATTGTTTAAATGGATTCTTATTACATTGTGCAGTGACACAGTAACTCTGAAAAATTGGCCAATTTGACCCCAGGTTGAAGTGAGCACAGTGCTGTAGGGTAAAGGGGCATTTTGAGAAAGGATGGCACTTTACAGCTTATTCGGTGTGGTCTAGACATCAGTCAGGATTTATTTTGCTATGATTAAAACATGTATTTTCAGTGTTTAAATGGCTTAGGAGTCTGTCCCATCTCAAAAATTATATCACGCACCTAGAAAATCTGTGGGATTTAGACAAGTAAGTTGAATCCTGTTGACTGTTAAGCTTTTTTTGTGCCGAAATCCATGTGGTTGTGCTTTGAAAATAGTATTTCTTTGCTTTTTGAACCAAGATAGGTAAAAGTGAGGCTGGAAAATCTTTATGGTCACAAGTGATTCAATTTTCATCAGTGACACGATGTCCGTGCAGCAGAGCTTAGTTTGCGGCATGGGCAGAGGACTCTCAAGGTAGGGCAGCGCTGGCTGGCTTGGTTTGCTCGGGGTTTGTAGGGCCTCTGTGGCCTCTGGAAAGGCACAGTTAAAGTCATCCTCGTGATTCGTTGGTAAGGTGCACCAGAACATTTTGCATAGGTTTCTTTATTTTGTTTCTAAATTGAAACGCTAAAGTTAGAGTCAAGAAGAGCAAATGGTTAAGCAGGGATCATGGAGACACTGGGTCTCCAATGAAATGGATGAACCAACCTGGCTTTCTCCTGTGTTTGGTGTTATCCATCCATTTGACATCCAGTTGACAAAAGAAATGACATTTCATGGGCTCTGAAACTGCTGTGTATGTAAAGAAGTAGCAAGATCTCCCTCTAGGTAAGACCAGTGACCAAACAAAAGGCAGCCTGTACATCCCAAACTATCCTGTGGTTGTTAGGGAAGTATTCAGGATTATCTCATCAGGGAAGCAAGTTGGGATTTCTCCTCTGTCCCAGTGATGCATCAAGCCTGGCCTGAAACCTGTGAGGTTTTTAAGAGCCTTTCCACTAGCTGTGTTGGCTTCTCATTCAGCCCTCTCTGCTTTTCCAGGTATTGCTTTTTATTTCATCTCCTGACAAATACGATAGTATTCTTTGTATTTTCAGTTTACAAATAGCACAATGGAGGTGACTAATTGTTAAAAAGTAGGTGTCTGAGGCACACGTTTTTTGCAGAGGCAATTCATGCTCTGACTGCAGCCAGAAGAGCCCCACCAAGCAGCTTAGAACCACCCTTAAAGCAAACAAAGAAGAAATACAAAACTATTGTTGCTGCTATTCCTTATTTAAAAAAAAAAAAAAAAAAAAAACTTGTTTGAAAAGAAAGAATGACAGAAAAGAGTGAAAAAGTCATTAAGGAGCTCAGCAAGGGCTGCTGGACAGTGAGTTTAAGTTTGAGGTTTAACAGGAGCCAACCCAACTCCGGAGTCACACCCAACAGCCGTTGTAAACCCCCTGGATCCAAAGCACAGTAAGTGCATTGAATTCCCAGCCGTATTCTCAAGTTGTGAGTTTTCTGGGGTTTGTCCTGTTACCCCTGGCCGGGCTCAGTCTTCCCCACGTATCTCAGCAGCAGCTGTGCCCGTGTCAGCTGCAGGAGAATCAGGGGAAGCTGTGCCATCAGTCAGCAGGCAGACAGCAGCGAGCTCCGTGGGATGAGCACCAGCCCGCTCACATTTATCTCCAGCGCTGCCTTGACACGTTAATTTAGTTTGTGCTTCGCAGTTCATACTCTGTTCATTTATGATCGTGTATTGGAAAAGGTTACAATTAATCAGAAAGTGGGTATGGAGGCTGGCAGAGCTAATGATGTATTATTGCATTTTGTTTGCTTTGTAGGAGAACAACTGGGGGATGTGCATAAAACTATTGTTAGTAAGTAAAAATTATTAAAGGATAACAACCCGCACCCATCTCCCATTTTACAAACTGTATTTCTTCTTAAAAGTTCTTGAAAATTAAGGAATTTATTATTACTTTTGGCTGTAATCAGTGTTTTTGGCCACGTGGCTGCCTTGGGGGAAAAGATGCCCTTTTTGCAGGGCTGGGGGGCATACTGGGCTTGCAGCAGATGAGCGTTCGGTATGTGTGAAGCCAATTTCCAAACCCTAATAGCCTGCCCGGCCCCACATGGCAAGGCTGCAGAGCTGGGGAACCACCAAGAACCCCTGCATAAGAATTGCAGACTGCTGGACTGACTGCAGCGTGCGCTTCCTAATTGAAAATGAACTCATTGCTGGCTGTTAAAAAAGCAAACGTGTTGCTGGGCTGAGGCAGACAACGTAAAACAAGCTCCTCCTGAGGGAGTATTTGCAACTTGGTCACATGCTGGAGCAGTGAAAGGTTTGGGTAAGAAATGCTTCCAGGCTTCCTGGGGTTGTCAGCAGGTGCTGCTGCTGAGCACAGAATGTCCCCTTGGTTTGGTGGGACACAGCATCCAGCTGCTGGAAGGCTGTCATGAGAAAAAGGAACTTGTACCTTGGGTAGCCGAGGTACGCAATTTCTAAAAGCTCCATTTTTAAGTAAAAATACCCATCTCCCTTCATTATTTGTATTAATCGTAAAGTTATTGTAAGCTTTCAAGTATGACAAAATTCCACAGTCCTTTGCACACCTTCGGTCTGTGGGATCGTCTGGGATGGCAAGTGCAGCTGGCATTGCTTCGCAGATGCAATGGGACTCCTGGGCAGTTTTCAAGGTAGAGGACAAAATTAACTTATAGTTTTCAGTCTAAAAGGAGAGCTGCTTACTGAGAGGGGAAGAAAAAGCATCTCCCAGTTTTTACCAGCCTCTGGTCACTACGTAAGTCAGAACTGAGCAGACTTCTGTTTGCTCATTTGGTGGTTTGATCGGATTGCTCACATTTAGGATAAAAGATACAGAACACTCCTAACCTTTAAACTTCAGGTGTCCTTTTTTCAGTTTTATTCCAGCTGCCTCAGGTTTTACTTGCTGTAAGTGGAAAACTGCTCTCCAGGGCTATTTACATAAATCTGGACTTTCAGCTTTTCAGTTCATCAGCTTGTCTGAGTACCCCCTGATCTCAAGTACGGGAAGAGGCAACCTGCCAAAACCTTAGGATGGAGCCCAGGTGTATGAGAGTGAATAAAGAGCAACCTGTCATCTCTGAGTTGAAATCAGCAGGAGAAACTCAGGGACACGAGCTGGGCAAGGCTTTAGCTTTTCTTAGGGTGGCTGTTGCTGCGAATCCCTAGAGGTGTCCTGAACTTGGACACCCTCCTGCAAAAACCTGAACAGGCTCCTGTGGCACCCAAATAACCTAAATTGGTGAAGTCTTTCTGTAGAATCACCCCACTGAAGCCACTTAATGAGTCTTGTCTTTCCTTTTTCCCACCAGGGCTAGCTCAAGACCACTGCCATCAGCAGGAGCTGCTGAGGCAGCCCCTGCCTTGCGCTGAGCATCGCCCTGCACCATGCTGTAAGCAGCCAGACTGTTAGCAAAGCATGCACAGGCATCTTGGTGGTGCTCATCCTCACAAAAATAGCAACGACTTGGGAGTGTGACAGCTCTCATTTCCTCTTGGTTGGTAGGGGTGAGTGCAGGAGGAGCTGGACAGAGGGATGGCATTTGCCAGGAGACCTGGCATGGTCAGGAGTACCCTGGAGGCTGTCAGGAGGGATTAATTTAAGGGTGAGTGCTCTGGCATGGGGAGGGATGGGTGAGGATGCCCTGCAGGCAGCCCCCTCCCTCCCTCTGCATCCACTAAATGCAGGCTACTGCCCCATTGCCAGGGGGATATTTTCATAACACATTCCATTAGGAAACTAGGGTTTCCTAACAACTGCAAGACAGATGCTGTTCTCCATGACAGAGAACAGGTAGGAGGAGCCTGAATGAACTTTTTCTTTAATAGGATGCCTTCTGTGCTCTCAACAGAGGTTTCATAGCATTTCTGTTGCACAGCTGCCATCCAGCATCCTGGGGAAATGAGAGGTCTGTCATTTTTCTTATTCCCAAAACAATTTGATAAGCCTTGGAGAACATTTTCATTCATTCTATTGTCCACGCTGCTACTTTCCCATATGATTAAATGCTTTATTTTTTGTATCGGGTCAATAAAGCTATGGCTAAAAGATTAAGTCTTCTGTTTTAGAGATCTGAGGACCAGGCACCTTGTTTGGGACACGCAGGAGACCAAACCAGCGCTCTTAGGAGCCAGGAACAGGAGTTTTCACTGCCTCGGCTGCCCCAGACCTGTGTCCTCAGACAGTCAAGGAAAACAAGTAACATCATTCACATGCAGCAGCATTTCAGTGTGATGGCCTGAAAAAAGGAGGGAGTAATTGAAGTCATCATTTTGAGAAAGCAGAGTGAATAGGGGGTCAGTTTGGGTACGGCAGCCCACAGAGCCTCCTGTTCACAAATGCCATTTGGGGTTAGTGCAAATCCACCAGATTATTTCCTCTCCACAATACAGATACATCCATGTGGGGTATATAAGGTTGTGCCATGCCTGCAATTGCACGAGGGCTGTATTCTTGGGGAGAAATCAGAGGAAATGAAGTTTCCTTGGATTAGTGCATATATTAATTCCAGTTATTTAGAGCGACCATGGCTTTGCTTTGCAATGAGGCAGGGAAACCTTGCAGGCTAATGAAGCAGGGAGGCAGCACTCAGCATCTATTACTGATGCCATTAGGAGCCAGTCAGGGCTCTCTGCTCCCTTGGTAGTGCCACATTTCTGTTTGCAGAGCCAGAGGAGAGGCTGCATTGCCTGGGGGCCTCCTGCCCGGGTCCGTGGGGTCAGAGCTGCTGTCAGCCGGGTTTCCTGGCCGCCTGTCATGGGCACAGCCCCCCGGGAGATGCTCTCCGGCCATAGAGACACACAGCATTTGTGCTTTTGCCCGCATGGCTGAATCTGTCTCTTCTTGTACGAGGTGCTGGTATCCCTGTCTCTCCTGCTGTAGCTTCACGGTCGATTTAAGCTGATGTAAGCATGAGGTGCAGTCAGAAGGGAGAGCGAGTCCCGTTGCCCAGGCTTCAAATGCTGCCCCTGTGTGAAAGCGTGGCCTTGGCATCAGGCGTGAGACTTAAACGCTCTCCTGAGAAGGTAAAGGTGCAGCTGGGCCAAGTTTCACATTTACATCCAGCTGTAGTAGTACTTAAAACACGGAAGAGAGCAGTGTAACAAAAAGCAATTTAAAAACAAGAATAATGTCTTGAATTCAAGTAGTAATGAATTACTTCTTTAAGAAGGCAATGTGCACCGGTGCCAGCTTTTACCCACCGGTGTCTGGAGGACTCGAAGCATCCAGCAGTTGCATTAGGAGCAAGTCCAGCATAGAAGCCATGCAAGTTCTGGCACTGGTTAGATGAAGAAGCACATTTCTAGAGCTGTTGGTTTAAAATGCGACTCCAGTAGGCCTGATAGATTCAGATCCCAGAGGGTGAATGAAATCAATCCAGATCCATTGACCTGACACCAGCTGCAGCTCGTGGAGCCCTGGAGATGATCAGTGAGTACAAGCTACTGCCTGAGCTGCTGGTGCTTCTGTTTAAGCCTCAAAAGTAAATACCCATGAGCAGAAACCAATCCTAAAGACTTTGGGCTATGCTGGAAATGGTTCTGCAAGTACCACGAGGTATCAGGCGTGCCATCAACAACAAAAATAAACGGCCTGTAATGTTCCAAGTGATTATAACAGTTTTCAGGAGACTGAAGTTAACAGATGTGGAGAAAGAGACTGTCCAACAGGGCAGGAGATTTGGAGGGAGTCGAGAGAAGGGGAACAAGAGCCAGAGGGAAGTGTGGAAGATGAGACCTTCAGGGAAAGTCCAAGGAAGGCAAGCAAGTCAGCTCCATCTAAAGAAATTACGCCTAGGGGAGACATCACCTGCATACGCACAGAGGGGATGTGTAGAGCACCCAGCAGGCAATTTCCAGACAAGGGGCCTGATCTTTTAGTGAAATACTGAGAGGGAACGAGGGCAGAACACATACTTGATTTATCATCCCATCTCTTTTAGTAGCAGTAATGCAACTGTATTTTCTTCCCTGAGCTTCTCCGGCAGCTGCTCCACCTGACTCATAAAGCTGGGGCAGCAGCTTGCCAGCTGAGTCTCTCCTGTGATGGGAGAGGTTTTAGAAAGCTGCTGGCCTCCTCACCAGGTGGCTCTTCTATTTGAGGCAGGTGCTCCTGCTCCTGCTGCTTGAGGGCTTACTAAGCCCTGCTTGAAATGGCCACAAGATCAAGGTGGAGGGCTATTTTTAAGGCAATAGAGAGCGAGCAGAGAATTTTTCCAGGACAGTATTTCACTGAAAAGCAACAGGACCGCGTTTCATTTTCCTGGGGCCAGGGATTTCTCCAAAGTCCCTTAGGCAGTTTTCTGTAGTCCTTTGTAAAAGCCAGTTCTGAACTTGCCTCGATATTCCCAATGAGCTCTGCTTTGTTTAAGGTAAAATTGACCAAACCCAAGGACCAATCCAAATGTTGAGTGTTTTAGCGGTTTCCTATTCTGACAGCGAGCAAATACCTTTTTTCCTTTTGATTTGCAGTTATTTCCTTTTTCCTGCAGCCCAGCTGCCTCAGGAGGAAGACAAACCCCCACTCATCACTGGGACAAACAAAATGAAACTGCACCAGAAAACAGTGGAAAAATATCCAAAATAGTCACAAAATCAGAATCAAGCTCGGAACAAGTTGCCATCTTGACAGCTATTTGTAAGCATTTCTGAACAAATATTTTCAAGCAAAAGAATTCAAGCTGAGTACCCCTGACCAGCAGCAGTAATGCTAAATAAATAGCTGTACTCCTCCTTTCTCCGAAGAAAGGGCGCCCCAGTTCCTGAAACACACACCAAAGTTCATCCGAACTCCTCCTTTTAGGAGGAGCATGAGGCTGCAACAGAGATTGCAGAAAATATTTGAAATCCCAGTGCAAAAAAACTAAGTTTTGGGGGGCTTCCATCATTAGAGACCTGTGTGGTTAAACCCTCCCAGGATGCTAACAGCACCTGGAGAATTACAGAAGACTTTAGATTAACAAGTCTCTGTCAACATCAGGGAATAACAAGTACTGGAGTTACCCAAAGTCTCACTTTCTGCCGAGTAAATGCTCTGACACTTGGCTTTACCAGGCAGCCAGCTCTGGCCAGCGACGTACGAACAGGGCAGGTCCCATTTCTTCTGACAGCCTCCAGCTCCTTGCAGCAGTGGCTGAGGGATCCTCTCTCCTCCCTACACCACGTGCACAGGGATCAAAGGAGCTGCCCCCTCCTTCTGCACCTTTAAATCAGGAGGGCCCTGGCTGTAATTGGGGCCACCTGAGGGTGCTGGCCACCAGCCAGCGAGCTGCACCCGGGCACGCAGCAGCCCAGGATGCGGCTCTCTCACAGCAACCTGCCTCCATCTGAAGGACAGCTCACACGATGTAAATGCATCAATGCATTACAGCAGCCAATACCACTGGTGAGCTCGACCCTTTACAAATGCAGATGAAGGCGTTTATGCAGGGTTAGAATTAGCTCTGTGCTCTCCCTCTATTTGCAGCGCTGCAATGGCGTAGGAATAAATTTCTGCTCGCACGGAGTGCTGGCCTCCGAGCAGAGCCGTACAGCGCTGCAGCCGTAAAGCTCCAGGGCTGCCAGCTTTCCTGGGATGCACCCTGCAGATCGAGCAGAGCAGCTGGGAGAGGAGCAGAAAGTAGGACCCGGGGCTTTCTCTGCTAAGGATCGGGGCAGCTCCTTATTCCACGAGGTATTACGGACACGTGCAGGTCAGAGACCGAGGCAGTTCCCTGCAATCTCAGATCCTGTGAGCAGGGGGCAGATAAGTGCTTGCCAGGCATAGACCTCAAAGGTGGTAAGTGTGGAGTAAAATTAAAACCTCTGCAGGTATTTAGCTAATAACATCTGAAATTCGCCATGCAGGAGAGAGAACGGCTGCAGGCTGCAACAGAGCATTAAGATTTTTTTTCCCCCTTTCCTGTTCCCTTGTTACTTCTCCAGATTTTTCCACCATGTTTGGGAAGAAGAAGAAAAGGCTGGAAATTTCCGGGCCCTCCAACTTCGAGCATCGGGTTCACACGGGCTTTGACCACCGGGAGCAGAAGTTCACGGGGCTACCTCAGCAGTGGCACAGCTTGCTGGCGGACACAGCCAACAGGCCCAAGCCTATGGTGGACCCCTCATGCATCACTCCCATCCAGCTCGCGCCTATGAAGGTACCGTGCAAAGTCTTTGTTTCTCGTCTCCATTGTATTTCCTAGCCTGTCTTTAATTGCACGTAGCCTCAGCGAAGCCATACTGCTTCGGAGTTGAAGTTGGGCTTGGTCTCAGCCCCAAAAAGCCTGCTTGTGCTCTCAGAAGGTACCCACTGCAGGGGGGGCTACCCTTGGGAGCCTGTTATCCCAATTTCTGGATGCAACTACATCTTAGCGACAGATTATCTGATTACTCTGCTGCAACCACTCAAGTATATTTACTCTGCCTACATTGCTAGAAATAGAAGGAAGTGAGAAGGAGGTGACGTGTCAGGCTTGGCCACCGAGCACCAACAGACAGAAAATATTTATCCGCATCGCCCTGAGCGCCTGTCCTGGCAGGGCTGGAGAGTGTGCAGGTACAGAGAGAGCTGCAAATCCAAATATTTAATTGCTAGAGCCTGCAAGGAAAAATTATATTTATAAAACTTGTAGAACTGTCCCAGAGGAGTGTATATCATGGGTCTTACTGGGGCCATTCCTTCATGTTTCTGGGCTGCAGGAGAAAAAGCCCCAAATCCCAGTGGAGGCCCCAAACGTTGCTCTTCTGCAGCTTAAACCTCCGTTGATAATTAATTTAAGAAAGGTGCTTTAGGCAAGCACAGTTTGGAGCAAGGGAGAGAGGGAAAAGTACATAGAAGTTAAAAAATGAACTAGCTTGTTGAGCCCAGCAAGGAGCTGAGGGAGGGATCTCATCACCACCCACTGCTGCCTGGGGGTTACGCGGGTGGTGGAGCAGAGCTTCTTCGGGGTGATAAAATGAGGGGAAACAGCCCCAGGTTGTGGCTTGCGAGGTTCAGACTGGACAGGGGAGGAGAAACCTTGGTTCGGAGGCTAAGGCAGCACTGGACAGGCACCAGTGCAGCCCTGGAATCCCCATCCTTAGAGGTTCAAGATACAGATGGGCAAACGTGCCCTCACTTAGCAGTGTTTCTGGGACTGCACATCCTAACTACCGGTAGCTGACACCTGTGTGCTGGCAGTACACATACCCTTCACTGTCACGCAGCTGAAAGATAAATTTAGGATTTCATCTCCGTGTGGATTTTTCTGCAGCAAGCGAAAATCGGATAATCCTGAGAGCGCGGGCTCTGTATTTATATTTCATAAGTGCTCTTTGCTAAATTTGCATTTACTGCCTGCTCCTGAAGGACACTCATCACTTGCTGATCAGGATTGCAGGACAAGGGGGATAAAAGCAAAGTCTTGGATTTTTTTGCTGTGATCAAATATCTTGCTGTATGATAGAGGCCCTGAATAACGTGGGGAAAAAAAGCAGGGAAACCTTTGGCAGCTAGGGCAGAGGAGCAAGCTTGTTTCACAGTCCTTTTAAACACCAAAATATCTTTGGGTATTTTGACACGAATGCATAAAGATGTTTTAAAATGAACAAATCCGTTTCTTATCTTGCAGTAGTGCCATCTTTTTTCTGTAGTTCTGGAGCCGCAAATCTGTAAGTTTAAAACGTTTTAAAATGTATTAGCTCCTCAACAGCTTACAGGCAGCGTGGATCTGGGTCTAGGCCTGCAAACGGACATCTGCATAGCTTTATTTGTGAGCAGAGCCCTGGTGATGCAATACACGCTGCAGGCTGGGAAGGTTCAAGCCCCGAATGAGTATCTGCAGCACTTCAAGGTGGGGAAAATCCCTGGCAGTCGTTCCCAAGAAATTGTCTGGTTTGCTTTTCTGTCTGTGTTTCAGAGGACTACACATGTCCATGTACCAGGGGCCTTATGTATCTGTATGGATCAGGAGTTCTTGGGCTACCAGGGTCCATCGTGCACCCTCCCGTGGCACATTTCCTGGGTCCGGGCTGTCTGTAACCCAGTCCCTGTCTCGGCACTCGCCGTGGGGCTGGGCACAAAGAAGCCCATCTGCAGAGGGACCCACAGGAGGGGCTGTCTGCGTAGAGGGAAGATGGGATTTTTAATTTTAGTACAAGAATATTAAAAGAAATTGTGTTACTCTATATTAAGAATTATGCTCTGTTTCGACATAACTTACAGGGAGAAACTTGGAAAATATGTCATGTTGCTAAAGTAGTTCAGCATAAACATTTAATGAAGCTTTTGTGCATGTGTGCACGTGCGCTAGCACCTTCAGTTCTGTTCGAAAGTGATCTAGGTACCAAGGATTTTACAGCTTTGGTGAGAACTGAAGATCTGCAATGCTTTGCAGTTTGGGAAGATGGGAGCCAAAGGCTCCAAGGTCATAATATTGTTTACTGGTTTTTCTTCTGTCCATACAGCAGTTGATACGGCTTAATTAGCACCTTGTAAATGCACGGGGCTGTAGCAGCAGATTGATATTTGGGCATGTCCCGAGTCCTGGAGTTACGCTGGGCTGAGGCACTTGGCCAGAGTTGACTGAACAGTGGTTGCAGGTGACGTGGCACTTCGGAAGCTTTGCTCTTCTGCATTTATTAATTTCTTCTCTTTTTAATTACATCATTGTTGACTACACACACAGAGCGAGGCAGAGGCATCGCTGCTAATGGGTGTGCCTTCACAGCTGTACTGGCCTCACACATTAGTAGGGGTAGAGTTGAAGAGAATGTTTGCTGGGTTTTGAGACAGAGCTGGGGTTTGTTTGCTTTAGGGCTTCACGCAGAGCCAAAACAGAGGAAGGGAAAGACTTCTCTTGGCTTCTGTGGGTTTTGCTGCCCTCCCCATTCGTGCTGTTTGCTTGTTTCTCAGTCTGCCAAGCAGATAGGACCTGATGGCCTGTAGTGTATCCCTTCGGGTAAAAATACACTCAATGCTCCATCTGTCCTGAAAGCAGCAGCGCTGATGGAGAGGCAGCACCCCGGGCTCCCAAATCTCCTGGGAGACCTCCTGGGAGACCCCTGGGAGATCCCTCCTGGGCTTGTCCGACAGATCTGCATGGGCTGGGATAAAGGCTCATGGTCCTGTCGCACGTGGCTGCCGCTGGCTTGTCGTGGTAATGTCAGAGCTTGAATGCAGACCTGAGCTGGCTGTACAAATTCATTCATTCCCAGTACAAGCAGAAACAATAATAGGATTCCCCTGCTCGGCGCGGGTGACCCAGATACGAGCAAGGAGCTGTGTGTTGGAGATGCTAGCGAGGATCAGTAAAACACAGCACAAGATCTCATGCAAAACAGAGAGCGACAACGATCTCGATAGCTTTGGGGTGTGGAGAGAGGGGGTTTTGATAAAAGGCTGATTTTTCACTGAAAACATCTCTGTGTGAAAAATGTGAACTCTGTGCGTCTTCCTGTACTTAAAATAGACCTCGTGAAGTACCGGGAGCCTTATGTGGGGGCTTCTTGCCAAAAGAGCCCAGCATTGGTTTCATGGAGCTGTTCCACTAAGATGCTTGGACGTCCACAGCCATCAGCGGGAGCAGGGCAGCGCTGGGGACTAGTTAAAATCAAAATCCCTCCTCGTCTTTCCCAGTGCAGCAAACAGCTGAGCTTCCTCCCTTCGCTGTGAGTTACTGGAGGAGAAGATGCCGCTTGTTCCTGAGATGCAGGGTAACTGTGCCATTCACCTGCAGCAGCTCGTTTACCTGCCGCTGGGCTTCACAGGGCAGAAAATGTGGGACGGGGCACACTGCAGGGTCACTGACTTTCCTCTCCTTCATCCTCATGTTTCAGTGGTGTAATCCGCGTGGTTTGTGTTATCTGTAGTTTTAGTTTTCCTCACTGCTGCCTCTCAAAATTGACCTGGATACCACTGAATTTGCTGTAATCTTTAAAACCTTTTTAAGCTTCTACTACTGTGTGTCAGCCTCTGCATTACACAGAGAAAATATAATCAGAAAATGAGTTACTTTCTGTGGCTCTTTTAATAGCCACATATTTTCTCTCCCCTCCGTAGCTACTTGATTTTATTTATTCCCCCTGTGATACCCCTGTGGATGGGACAATTTGAAGCTCTTGCTTGAAGAAGGTTGGCTCCCATCCAGCAGGAAACCTCAGAGCCACAGCACTGCTCTCGCCAGCACAGGACCCGAAGGGCTGCTGACATCTCGTGGGCCTTCCTTGTAACCACATCGTGCTAATTGGTGCTTATGAACTCTGCTTTCCAGTTGCACACTTCTCAGTCACGGATTGGGCCTGGCGTGGCTCGTCTGGGAGGAGAAAAAAGGAGGCAAAAAGCTAACACCTTGCAACATGGGAAATTTGGGGTGGAAAGAAAATGTTTTTCCAGTAAGCACTGTGGGACAGAGAGACAACCCTTGCAGAGGGCAAACTTTGGTGGACGATGCCTTGAGCCACCTGACCAGGCTTTGATGCTAGCTGTGCTCTGAGCAGAAGGTGGGGCTGGACAGCCTGCAGAGGTCCCTGCCAGCCTTTCCAGCCAGTTTCCTT